CAGTGTCTCTGCTGCCCCCACCTTCCGGTGCAGGTACTGGTGTTCATATTCTGGCAGCGGGATCCCATCCAGCAGCACTGTCCCACTCCCAGGATCCCGCAGCCGCTCCAGCAGCGCTACGGCCGTGCTCTTCCCGCTTCCATTGGGCCCTGCCAGTGCTGTCACCTCCCCGGAACGCACCTCAAAGGTTACTTCCTGTGGGATGGGGACAGGTGATGCCAGAATTCTGACCCCTGGGAAGCCCCACCTCCCCCCAGACCCACCTTCAGCACAGGGTGCTCTGGATTCCCAGGATATGTGAAGGAGACCTTCTGAAAAGTGACGTGGCCCTGAAGCTCGGGGGGCTGCCGTGTCCCCCCGACATTCCCTGCAGGTTGCCGATCCAGGTATTCCCAGATCTTCTGTCCAGCAGCTGCATTGGTCAGGAATTCATTGAAGCCGTAGAGCAGCACCTGGGGAGAAGAAAAGGGGTGGCACCAGGATGGACAGAAGCATGGACAGATGGACAGACACGTGCATTCCATGGGATCACCTGGACATGGCCACCAACTCTCTCCTGGTACAGCAGAAAGGTGACAAGGATCCCAGGAGTGATGTATCCGTCACGGAGCTGCTGGTGGCTCCGGAAGAGCACCACGACCTGGATGGCCAGTTTGATCACCTGTGGGTGGGACAGGGATGCTGCTGCCCCCAACCACTCCTGGTGACCCCATTCCGCCTGTCCCCATCCCACTCCTGGGGTCTTTATCTCTGTTCTTGGTGCCCTCATCCTGTTCCCGGTGTCCTCATTCCAGTTCTGGTGTCCCCATCTCACTCTTGATGTCCCTATTCCTGATCCTGATGTTCCCAACTTTTATCCCAGTGTCTCCATCCTGTTTCTAATGCCACCATTCCTACTCCTGGCATGCCTGCTCCTGATCCCAATGTCCCTGTTCCGCTGTCACTATTCCTGGTGTCCCCATTCTGCTCTGAGTGCTCCCATCTCAGCTGCTGGTTTTCCATTCTTGGTCCCAGTGTTCTCATTCCTAGTACCCCCATTCCCAGTGTCCTTATCCCTGATTCCGGCACCCCCATTCCCTGGTGTTCCTGTTCCCAGTCCCCTCTGACCCTGTGGACAAGGGTGAAGAATGCCAGCTCCAGCTCCATCTGCTCCTTCAGCCTCAGCTCCTTGGCCAGGTTCTGTCTGTGCTGCTCCTCCTCCTCCTCCTCCGCCGAAAAGGTTCGGATTGTCTCGATGGCGGCAACAGATTCCTGCACCCCCGAGGCTGTCCGGGCAGATGCTTCCAGCATGGATCGCTGAAGTGCCTGTGGCAGCAACAGGGGATTTCCAACTTTCCCAGGTCACCTTCCTGGGCCACCATCCACATCCTGTCCCTAGAGTTCCCATCCCACCACACCCACTGCCTCCCCACTATTGCATTCCCACCATCCCACACCCTTCTCTCTCACCCTCACCATTCCCATCCATTCTCCCAGTCCTAATCCCACCATCCCCATCCCTACTCTCTCATCCTGTCCCCACCCTGTCCCTTCCCCACCATCCCACCTTACCTCATCCTTCTCTTCTCATCCACACCATTCCCCTCTCCACCATTCCATTCTATCCCCATGTCAGCATTCCCACCATCCCACTCCCTTGGTCTTTATCCCCTTTCATCCCACCATTTCCATCTCCATCGTTCTCCTTTCCATTCTCCATCCCATCCCACCCCCACCATCCCATTCCCCTAGCCTCCACCCCAGCTCCACCATTCCTACCCCCTTATCCCACCTCTGCGTCCCCCTCCCACTCTTTCCCTCCTGTATTCCCGACCTGTTTTCGGGCGCTCTGGATGCGACGGGTGGCGATTCCAAGGGGCACCTCCAGCAGTGCCAGCAGTGCCAGCCCCGGTGCCAGCCCCACCATGAACGCCCCCACCACCAGGGCCATCACCAGGCTTCGGAGCAGGTGGTTGGCTCCAGTCGGTGCTGACTTGCACACCCGTGGCACTTCCATGGAAAACTGAGCCAAGAGCTCAGCTGCAGGATGGGAAAAGAGGTTGGAATAATGGTGGGTGAGACGGGATGGGAATGATGTGATGGGGACCAGTGGGATGGGATGATGGGAATGGGTACAAAGATGGTCAGGGTGGAATGGGATGGGACAGGGGAGATGGGATGGTGGGAATGGAGATCATGGGATAAGGTGATGGGCTGGTGGGAGGAAGCTGGGGATATGCAATAGGACAGAGGCATGGGAATGAGAATAAAGGGGATAGAACAGTGGCTAGAACGGGAAAGTGGGATGGGGACAGGATGGAACATTGGAGTAGAATGAAGGCAGGAAGATGGCATAGAATAGAATGGGATGGGATGGTGAGAATGGGAATGATGGGGATGGAGTGATGGGATGGGATAACAAACAGATGGGATAGGATGGAATGGGGGACTAGGGGCTGGGGGCTGGGATGGGGACTGAGGTGACAGGATAGTTGGGATGGGATGGGACAGATGGGATGGAACAGGTGGGATGGGGCTGGACTGTGCCCCATTACCTGCCGGCGCTCCCTGGAAAAAGTCCAGGTCTTGGTGAACCAGGTGGGAAAAGAGCCGGAGGCTCAGGTTCTGACGGAGACGTGCCATCAACAGCAGGAAGAGAGACCCCCGGCACCCGGAAAACAGCACACTGTGGGGACGCAGGGACGCGGGCATCAGGGATGTTGGGGACACAGGGACAGGCCCAGGGAATGCTGCAACTCACCTTGTGGCTCCGGCAGCCGCCACCATCCCGACAGCTCCAGCGGTGACTCCATCCCCACTCCCAATGGCATCCAGCACTTTCCCGGTGACATACGGTCCTGCCATCTCCCCTGGGTGTCACCGAGACTGTGTCACAATGGGTGTGACCACTGACACAGGGGGACCCTGATTTGTGAGGGGCAGGACCCGCTCTGGGGAGTGGGGATCTAATTTTGGAAAGGCGGGACACAATTTGGGCAGGAGACAATTTAGAGAGGTCAGGACCCAATTTAGGGGGTTTAGTGACAAATTTAGGGATTTTACATCCAATTTAGGGTGTCAGTACCAACTTTGGGGGGTTCAGCACACAACTTTATGGGTCAGAACCTAAACACAGGAGATCAGGACCTTAAGATCCCAGGTCTTAGAGGTCAACATTCGTTTTTGGGCATCAGACCCTAAGTTTAAGGGTCAGCACCCAATTTTGGCAGGGTTAGCACCTCACTGAAGAGGTCAACTTGCAATTTAGGAGGGTCACCATCTCAGTTTTAGGGTGGTCATCGCCTATTTAGGGGTTCAGCACTCAATTTTTAGGTGCCAGCATCCAATTTTGGGGGGATGTCCCCCAAACTAGGGGGGGGGTTCCCATTTTGGGGCTGCAGAGCCCAAATTTGGGGTGTCAGCAGCTGTCACCACATGTCACCCACCAACGACAGCCAGCACGAGGCAGAGGACAGCAGCTCCAAGGACGTTCCGCTCCTCCCAGGTCAGTGCCAGAGCGCGCCGGACGCTGCCAGGAGCTTTGGGAACGCCGCCGGGGGTCTCAGGGACGGCGCCGGGCGCCGGGGGCGCGGCCCAGGCCAGCAGGGCCAGTGCGGCAGCGGCGTGGGTCACCCCGAGCCAGGCGGGCGCCGCGGTCACCAGCAGCCACGGCCCATCCCCGGACGGCCCCAGGAAGTGCCGGAATGTTCCGAAGACCGCGGGGGTGGCGGCGATGGTGATGGCGGCCGCGGTGGCTCCACAGGGACGGCGAGGGGCCAGCAGCCACGTGGCCGCGGCCAGGACGGGCAGGCGCAGGGCGGCCTCGAGCCACACGCCCGCCACGCCCAGCGGCGCCAGCACCGGCACCAGCGGCGCCAGTAACACCAGTGCCAGGGCATCGGCCGCCAGCAGAACACCGGGCAGGAGACCAGCGGGTGGCAGCGCCATGGCGGGACCAGTGCAGACCAGTGCTCCCTGTGTGGCTCCCGGGGAAGGATCAACAGCCTGTGAACTCACCAGTTAAAACCAGTTAGGACTGGGGTGCTCCCCTGTGCACACCAGTGCTCCCAGTTCAGCCTGGGGTGCTCCCCAGTCTGGATGAGGCACTTCCCAGTCCGGACAGGATGCTCCTTAGTTCACACCATTGCTCCCAGTCCAGCCCTCTCAGCTCCCCAGTCCATATCAGTGTTTCCAGTCCAGCTTGTGGCACTCACCAGTCCACACCAGAGCTCCCAGTTCAGCCTGGGCCACTCTCCAGTCTGGATAAGGCACTGCCCAGTCCGGACAGGATGCTCCTTAGTCCACACCACTGCTCCCAGTCCAGCCCTCTCAGCTACCCAGTCCACATCGATGTTTCCAGTCCAGCTTGTGGCACTCACCAGTCCATACCAGTGCTCCCAGTCCAGCCCTCTGAGCTCCCCAGTCCATATCAGTGTTTCTGGTCCAGCTTGTGGCACTCACCAGTCCACACCAGTGCTCCCAGTCTAGACTACGGGGCTACCAGTCCAGCCCCCTGAGCTCAGCAGTCCACACCAGTGCTCCCAGTTCAGCCTGGGGTGCTCCCCAGTCCGGACAGGATGCTCCTTAGTCCACACCAGTGCTCCCAGTCCAGCCCTCTGAGCTCCCCAGTCCACATCAATGTTTCCGGTCCAGCTTGGGGCACTCACCAGTCCACACCAGCGCTCCCAGTTCAGCTCCCCAGTAGCTCCCAATAGGGTCCGTTAGGGTTTCGCTTTCGAGGCCCCGCCCGTCCCGCTCTGCCCCGCCCTCTCCCCGCCCAGACCCCGCCCCTTTCCAGCCCAGACCCCGCCCCCTCCCGCCCAGACCCCGCTCAGACCCCGCCCCCTCCTGGCATCGCCTCCTTCGTCCGGCAACCTGCTCCGGCTCCCTCCGCCTGGCAACCGATGATGTCACCTACACTTTGACCAATCGCGGACGTTATTCCAGGCGTGGGCGTGTCAGGCCGGGATTCCCGGGGATTCCCGCCGGCCCCGCCCCGCCCCCCGCGCGCGCGTTCGGCTTTCCGGGAAAAGGCGGCGGCTGCTGGGAAGGAACCGGGCCGGCATCAGTGGCACCGGGACCGACAAGGTCCGGGCTGGGACACACTGGGAGCAGTCCCGGGACCCGCACGGACCCCTGGGACTCCCAGGAGCCAACGGCGAGAACCGGGAGCGACCGGGAGCAGGACCTGGACGCAGCAGGAGCAGACCGGGACCCAGCAGGACCCGCCGGTCCCCCTGTCCCCGATGCTGTCTCCCCCCGTTCGCCGGCTCCTGGCCCTGCTGGGCCCCGAGCGCCGACGCTGGACCGTGGTGGGGGGGCTGATGTCGGCTTCTGCTCTCGGTACGAGGGGACCCCGACCGGGGGGGGCAGGACCCCTTTGAGGGGCTTCGGGATCCGATTTGGAGGCTTTGGAAACAACTGGGGGGGGCAGGACCCGATGGGGGGTTGCAAGGCCAATTTGAGGGGTCAGAACCCAATTTGGGGGAGCCAGGATCTGATTTGAGGGAGGTCAGAAACCAGTTTGTGGGTCAGGGCCCAATTTAGAGGTAGTGAGCACCCAGTTTGGAGAATCAGGATTCAATTTTGGGGCTCAACACACAATTTTGGGGGCGGTCAGGGTCCGATTTCCGGGCCTCTGCCCCCAATTCAGGGGTCACCACCCTGATGCCGTGTCCCCACAGGTGAGGTGGCTGCCCCCTACTTCACGGGCCGTGTCACCGACCGGGTGGCCGAGGAGGACGCGACAGCGGCCGTGTGGCCCCTTGTGCTGGTGGGGCTCGGCAGGTGGGTGACACCGGAGCCCCGGGGACACCCCGAGGTGCCGGTGACACGCGCCCCCCTGACCCCGCTGTCCCCACAGTGCCATCAGCGAGCTGGCCTGTGACAGCATGGCAGCTCTGGCGCTGACACGGACGCGGGAGCGGCTCCAGCGCGGAGCGGTGGCCGCAGTGCTCCGTGGGGACGTGCCCGGGCCGGGGGGCAGCCTGGGGGACACGCCAGGCGCGGTGGCCGCGCGGGTGACGGGGGACGCCGGGGCGGCGCACTCGGCGCTGGCCGATGTGCTGGTGCCGGGGCTGTGGGCGCTGACACGGGCTGTGTCACAGCTGGCCACGGTGGCCTGGCTGTCCCCGCTGCTGGGCCTGCTCACCCTCCTGGCGCTGCCCCTCTTCCTGCTGCTGCCGCGCGCCGTCGGGCGCATCCAACAGGTACTGAGGGGATTTGGGGTGTGAGGGACCCCTGTCACCTCCCTGTCCCCAGCGTCACCTCCCTGGGCACCTTGTCATCTCCCTGCACCTTAAGTTCAGTCCTGTCGCCTTCCTGTGCCTGTTGTCGCTTCCCCGTGCCCTCTATCACCTCCTCTTATCCCCTGTTTCCTCCCTGTCCCCCACCCCCCATCCCCATGGTGACCCCGAGGTGACTTTCCTGTCCCCTCATGATCCCGTGGTGCCCCTGTGCTGACCCTGATGTAACCCCCCTGTTCCCTCTGTGACCCCATGGTGACCCTGTGGTGATCCCCTGTCCCACCCCGTGTCCCCCCATCCTTGTGGTGGCCCCTCTCGTCCCCATGGCGACTCCCTTGTCCCCACTGTGGCCCCAGGGTGACCCCCTGTCCCCTGTGTCCCCAGGACCTGGCACGGCAGGTGCAGGCAGCGCAGGCCAGCACCACCGCGGTGGCCCTGGAGTCACTGGGGGCCGTGGGGACCGTCCGCGCCTTCGGGCACGAGGCGGGCGTCACCCGGCGTGTGCAGCAGTGCCTCGCCCAGGGACACCGGCTGGAGCAGAAGGAGGCGCTGGCCTACGCGGCCGGGCTCTGGGCCAGCGGGGTATGGGGACACTGGGGGCACAGGGGGTGCAGAGCAGTGGCTGGGGAATGGGGGATGTGTTGGCACAGGGCGGAGGACAAGGGCTCCTTGTGGCAGGGGGGTGGGAGACATGGGAATGTGGGACAGGGAGACATGGTAGCAGGAGGTCACAGTGGATGTGGTGGCAGGGGGATGAGGACGTGGGTACAGGGATGGGAGATGTGTTGGCAGGGGCTGGGGAACAGGGACACAGTGGCAAAGAGCCAGGGGACATGGTGGCATGGGGGTGGCAGGACATGGGAGCAGCAGTGTGGGGCCAGGGGACATGGAAACCTGGTGGCCTGGGGTTGAGGAGCATGGGGATGGGTGGCCTGGGGAAGGGGACATGGTGGCATGGGGCTGGGGGACACGGTGACATGAGGCTGGGATAACACGCTGTGTCCCTGTGTCCCCAGTTTCCTGCACTGATCCTGAAGCTGGCACTGCTCTTCTTGGGGGGGCGCTTGGTGGCCGCAGGGACTGTCACCCGTGGGGAACTGGTCACCATTCTCATGTGCCAGCTACACTTCACCAGGGCTGTGGAGGTGACAAGTGTGTCCTGTACATGTCCCCCTTGTCCCCAACCCCCTTCCCTCTGTCCCCCCACATGTCCCTATGTCCTCACATCCTCACAGTGATGTCCCCATGTTCTCCTGGCCATGTGCCTGTCCCTGTCTCCTGTGTCCCCAGCCCCACCCTCACTTATGTCCTAGTGTGCCCCTGCCATGTGCCCACCAGCTCCCTATGTCCCCATCCATGTCCCCATGCCTGCTCTCCGTATCCCTAACCTGTCCCAGCCATGTTTTATCCCCCCAGTGTCCAAAATTACCCTGCTGTGTCCCCTCCGTGCCCTCAAGCCCCATTCCTCCCTTGCTATGCCTGTTCCTGTCCCCATGTCCCTATCACCCCCCCATGTCCCACTGTCTCCTGTATTCCCAATGTCCTTTGTGTCCCCCAAGTCCTCCCATCCCCCCAGGCCATTCCATAGCTCCCTTATGTCACATCATGTCTCCATGTTCCCAGGTCATGCTCCTCTATGTCCCGAACCTGGCCAAGGCCGTTGGCTCCTCTGAAAAACTCCTGGAACTGCTGGAGCAGGCCAAGATGGGGACACTCGCAGGACCACCGTCACCTGTTACCCCCGGGGGCCATGAGACCACAGAAACTCGAGGCCTGTGCCTCAAGGATGTCTGGATGTCGTACCCTGGGCGGTCCGAGCCAGTCCTCAAGGTGATGGGTGACACAGGGACATGGGGAGACATGGGGGTGTTGTGAACATGGGGGAACGTGGGACATGGGGAAGCACAGGACTTGGGGGGATATGGGACAGGGCCACAAGGGGATATTGTGGACATAGGGGCACATGGGACATGGCAGTTCAAGGGGGTACTGGGGACATGGGGAAACATGGGGGGACAAGGGAATATTGTGGGCATGGGGGCACATGGGACATGGCAGGATAAGGGGATATTGTGGACATGGGGAGGACATGGGGAAACGGGGAGACAAGGGGATATTGGGGCCACGGGGGCACATGGGACCTGGGGGGACAAGGGGATATTGGGGACATGGGGGGACACATTGGACATGGGGGGACAAGGGGATATTGGGGCCGCGGGGGCACACGGGACACGGGGAGGTGTCAGGTGCGATCCCTGTTCCTGCCACCAGGGGGTGTCGCTGTCGCTGCGCCCCGGGGAGGTTGTGGCCGTGCTGGCGCCTCCTGGTGGCGGGAAGAGCTCACTGGTGGCTTGGGGGCATGGGGGGACACATTGGACATGGGGGGACAAGGGGATATTGGGGCCGCGGGGGCACATGGGACACGGGGAGGTGTTGGGTGCGATCCCTGTTCCTGCCACCAGGGGGTGTCGCTGTCGCTGCGCCCCGGGGAGGTTGTGGCCGTGCTGGCGCCTCCTGGTGGCGGGAAGAGCTCACTGGTGGCGGCCGCGCTGGGACTGCGCCCCCTGGCGGGCGGAGCGGTGCTGCTGAACGGGACCCCCCTGACCCCTCACTCGGACCCTGCTCTGCGGGAACAGGTGACACACACGGGCCACCGCCGGGCCCCCACAGCCACCCCTAGGTCACCATCCATCCCCTGCTGCTGTTCCCCTGTCACCAAACCTCTCCGTTGTGTTCCCATAGCCACCCTGGGCAGCCTTTTGTCACCAACAGGTTCCCACAGCCACCCCTGGGTCCACACCTGGTCCTCAACAGGCCCCCACTGCTACCCTCAGGTCACTCCTGTGCCCCAAATGGGTCCCTACTGCCACCCCAACATCACCCCTGGCTCCCCAGTTCCACCCCTCTGTCACCAGTGGGTTACCATGGCTACCCCAGGTCAACCACTGTCCCAACAGCCATGGCTACCATGTCACCCTATGTCCCCAGCACATCCCCATTGCCATCCCCAGGTCACTCCTGTGTTCCCAACAGTTCTTCACAGCCACCCCTGTGTCATCAGCCAGCCTCACTATGACCCTGCCACCACCTCATGTCTCCACATGTGCCCTCCTTGTCCCTGCCAAATCCCTAAGTGGTCCCATGTTCCCCCCTGTTCCCCTATGTCCCCTGTCCCTGCAGGTGGCTGGTGTCCTGCAGTGTCCGTCCCTCTTGTCCCGCTCCCTCAGTGCCAACATCGCTCTGGGCTGGGGACACAAGGAGGGGACCCAGGTGATGGCAGCAGCACGGCGGGTGGGGGCGCACACTTGGGCCGAACAGCTGCCGCACGGCTATGGCACAGGTACGGCCAGTGTTCCCGTGGTCCCCCTGTAGTGTCTCCAGTGTGTTCCAAAGATGTCCTAAAAGTGTCCCAATAATGTGTCCAAGGTGTCCCCTTGCTCTCCCTAGTTTTCCCATTGTGTCCCCATTATGTCCCCATAGTGTCCCCTGCTGTTCCCATGATGTCGCTTCACCATCCCCAAGGTGTCTGTAGTGTCCCACAGTCTCCCTACCATGTTCCTTCTGTCTCCTCACTATTCCCTCACTGTCCCCATGCTGTCCCCATGCTGTCCCCTCCATGTCCTCTCTGCTGCCTCACTGTTTCCTCCCTGTCCCATCTCTGTTGTCCCTGTGTGCCCCAGAGCTGGGGGTGCAGGGGGTGTCCTTCCTAACATGTCCCCAGTGTCTCCCCTTGGTGTCCCAAATGTGTCTCCATGGTCTCCCCTCAGTGTCCCCATGCTGTCACCACAGCATCCCGTTGTTGTCTCCTCACTGTCCACTCTCTACCTGCTCCCACTTCCCCATGTTGTCCCCTTGGTATCCTCTCTGCCTCCTCCCTGTCCCCTCACTGTCCCCGGAGCAGCGGGTGCACAGTGGGTGCAGCTCCCCAGTGTGTCCACACAATGTCCCCATGGTGTCCCCACAGTATCCTTGTGGTGTCCCCATGGTGTACTCTCTGTCCCCAGAGGTGGGCCCACGGGGGATGCAGCTTTCAGGGGGGCAGGCACAAGGGGTGGCTCTGGCCCGGGCCCTGCTCAGGAACCCCCAGGTGCTGGTACTGGATGAGCCCACGAGGGCACTCGACCCCATGACCCGGTGCCAGGTAGGTCACAGCCCTGTCCCTGTGTCTCACAGCCCCATCCCCTGGGTCCCCATGTCCTCTGGGTCCTCACTCCCTGGGTCCCCGATCCTCATGTACCCCATATGGCCTGTGCCCCCTGGGTCACCATGTTCCCTGAGTCACCATGTCCCCTGGGTCCCCGATCCTCATGTCCCCCATATGGCCTGTGCCCCCTGGGTCACCATGTTCCCTGGGTCACCATGTCCCCTTAGTTGCTGCCCCCATGTCCCCTGGGGTCTCCTAGGTGACCAAATTCCCTGGGTCCCTGCCCCTGTGTCCCTTTGGTCCCTATGTATCCCCTAGGTCCCTTCCTTGTCCCCATGTTCTCTGTGTTCCCAATCCCCATGTCCTTTGGGTCCCCAATCTTTATGTCCCCCATGTGCCCTGTGTCCCCTGGGTCCCCACTTTCTGAGTGCCCTGTATTCCCTCTGCTCCCACTCCCTGTGTCCCCTTGGTTGCTAATCCCCATGTCCCCTGGGGTCTCCTGTGCCAGGTCCCCTGGGCCACCACATCCCCCAGGACCCTGCCCCTGTGTCCTGTCCCCTTGGTCCCAGTGTCCCCACCTACCCTGGGTCCCCACATCACCCCAAGCCCAGAGCCCCCTTGGTCCCGATGTCCTCTGTGTCCACATGTCCCCACTCCCCAGGTCCCTCTCTGTGCTCTCCACCCGGGGTCCCCTGACACCCCCAAGTCCCCCATCTCCACTGTGTCCCCCCGTGTCCTCATGTGCCCTGCCCCTGCCGTGTCCCCGCAGGTGGAGCAGGAGCTGCTGTGTCCCGGGACAGGGGAGGGGCCGGCAGTGCTGCTGGTGACAGGAAGGGTGGCCCTGGCACAACGGGCACAGAGGGTGGCCCTGCTGGAGGGGGGACGGCTGCGGGAGCTGGAGAGCCCCGAGGAGCTAAGGTCCCTCCCGTGGGGGACAGCGGGGGACACTGAGGACGGGGAGGGGGATGACTAGGGCTGGGAGGGAGACACTGGAGATGGAGGCTGTGAGAGCAGGGACGCTGCAGGAGCAGGGGCAGTGGCGACATGGGGAGCAGGGATGGGAACACCGTGGGGAAAGGGTGACTTCGGGGCCGGGGCTGTGACAGTGACCGGGTGTGAGATCAATCAATAAATCTGGAAACTTACGCAATAACAAATCAATAAATCAAACGATAAAGGCGTCGGCAGAGGGGCTGGGGCCGGGACCCCCCCGGCGGGGCCCCGCCGCCCCTCCCCCCCCATGAGCTCATCGTGTTGATGGAGAAAATTCCTTGGCGGGGGCGGGGGGGACACGCGGTGGGGGGGGAACAGGAGGGGAGAAAAGGGTGAGGATCAGGGGAGGATATCGGCTGGACACGGGCTTCTCCCCCCGCTCTGCTCCTGCCCACGTCTGCTGCACCCCCCCTCCCCATTCCCCGGCCTTTTGGGGGGCCCCAGGAGCCCCCCCCGCTGTTGTTGTTGCTGCCGGGGCAGTGAGTCACGGCCACACCCGAACTGGGAGCACTGGGAGGGGTTGTGCTGGGGCACTGGGAGCACTGGGATGAGCCACACTGGTCTTACTGGGAGCCCTGGGTCATGCTGTGCCGCAGTACTGGTGTTACTGAGAGCGTTTGGACAGACTGTACTGGTGTAACTGGGAGGACTGGGGTGGACTGTGCCATGTTACTGGTGTCACTGGGAGCATTGGGATGTGTTACTGGGACTCATGGGTTGGGCTTGCTGGTGTCACTGGGAGGACTGGGGTGAGCTGTGCCACATTACTGATGTCACTGGGAGCACTGAGGCAGGCGATACTGGTGTCACTGGGAGCCCCGGCACCGACTGCCCTGGGGTTCCTGGGAGCACTGGGATGGGCTTTCCCACGTCACTGGTGTCACTGGGATGGGCTGTACTAGTAGCACTGGGAGCGATGGGTCCTGCTAAGCCATGTTACTGGTGTTACTGGGAGCACTGGGGGCTGCAGGGCAGGTGGCACTGGGGTTACTGGTGTCACTGGGAGCGCTGGGATGGGCTGTGCTGTGTTACTGGTGTCACTGGGAGCGCTGGGATGGGCTTTCCCATGGTACTGGTGTCACTGGGATGGGCCATACTAGTGGTAGTGGGAGTGATGGGTCCTGCTAAGCCGTGTTACTGGTGTTACTGGTGTTACTGGGAGCTGGAGGGCAGGTGGCACTGGGGTTAAAGGTGTCACTGGGAGCATTGGGATGAGGTGTAGGACAGGTCCTACGCTACTGGGAGCACTGGGACGGGCTGTGCTGTGTTACTGGTGTCACTGGGAGCACTGGGACGGACTGTGCTGTGTTACTGGGAGCACTGGGATGTGCTGTGCTGTGTTACTGGTGTCACTGGGAGCACTGGGAACCCTTCCCTCTCGGTTGTTTGGTTTCCATGGCGACTCCCCAAACACGGGCGGGGGCGGCTCCCCTGGGGGGGGCGGGGAGGGCGTGGCCCAGGCCCCGCCCCCGGCCCCGCCCACTGGGAGGGACGGGGGGGATCTGGAGGCACTGTGGGAACAGGGGGAATTGGGGAGAATCGGGGGGTCGCAGGGGGAAGTTGTGGGGGGACTGGGAAGGTACTGGGGGGAACTGGGGGGCACTGTGGGAGACTGGAGGAATCGGGGGGCAACGGGGGGCTCTGTAGGCAGCTCTGGAGGAACTGTGGGGATTGGGGGACTGAGGGGGACTGGGAATCACTGGAAGTTACTGAGGTGGTCACTGGGGGTGACTGAAGAGTCACTGGGGGTTACCGGGAGGTGCTGTGGTTTGGGATGTCTGTGTGTCTGCAGGAATGTCCCCCAGGTGTCCCTCGTGTCCCCCACAACTGTGCCTGTGTTGCCAAGGGTGTCCCTGTGCTCGCCTCGTGTGTGTCCCCATGTCCCTCAGGTGTCTCCAGAGATGTTCCTGTGTCCCGTGCTGGTGTGCATGCATCCCTGAGGATGTCCCCAGTGGTGTCCCCACTGTGTATGGGTGTCCCCTACAGGTGTCTCTCTTCCCCCTCCGTGTCACTGAGGTGTCCTCGAAGATGTCCCTGTCCCCCTGCATCCCCCCATCGGTGTCCCCTGTGCTTCATGTGTGCCCTTGTGTGACCCCAGGGTGTCTCCACGTCCTCCCCGTGGGTTGTTTCCCTCGGACGTCCCCAACATCTATGTGCCTATGTCCTTTATTGGTGCCTGTGTGTCCCCATGGATGTCCCCATGCATGTCCCTGCATGCTCCTGCCTGTGCCTGTGTGCCCTAGCTGCCTCCAGAGGTGTCCCTGTGTCCCCCCCACCTGTGCCTGTGTCCCCGCAGTTATCCCTGTGTCTCTCCACGGTGTCCGTGTTCCCTCGTGGCTGCCTCTGGGTGTCCCCATGTCCCCCTGCTTTCCCCCAGGACGATGCCGGTGACCCTGGAACTGCGGCTCCTCCTGCTGGCACTGGCGCTGCGGGGGGAGGCAGTGTCCCCCTCAGTGTCCCCCTCAGTGTCCCCTGCCACGTCTCCCCCCGAGTCGTGCGGGGCGGCGCTGGCGGATGTGCTGAGGCGGCTGCGGGAGCTCGAGGGACACGTGCAGGCACTGAGGGGACACTGTGGGGACAAGGGGGGACCCCAGGCCGGGACAGGTAACAGGGGACAAGTGGGGAGAACACGGGGGAGCCCCAGGCTGGGACAGGGGAACAGAGGGAGGGGGACATAGGGGACATGGGGGAACATGGGGCTCATGGGGACAGTGAGGGGACATGGAGAACCCGAGGCTGGGACAGGTAACAGAGATTAGTGATATGGAGGAGACACAGGGGCACGGGAGAATGAGGGACCGGCGGGACATAGCAGGTCATTGGGGGGTCATTGGGGGGTCATTGGGGGGGGCCTTGGGGACTCACTGAGGTGGTTATTGGTGGGGACATTGGGGTCATGATGGTCCTTGTGGTCATTGGGGGCATCAGTGGGGGTCCA